GCATCCAGCGCCATGCGCCAGATTGAGTGGACCAGGCACTTGTGGTCAAACTGCTTCGCCGCACCGGACCGGACGGCCCACTCGCTGCCTGAATTATCCGAAAAGATGTTCACGCATCGGCCCGACAGGAGCGGCTCAACGGTGGCCAGGCCCAGCGCGATGCTGAGCACCTCCAGACCGCCGATTTGATTGTCGCGCCTTTCCCTGAAGAGCCGAAGCAGAGGCTCAGGCGGGGCGACATCGGTGAAGACAATGCGCCCGTCAATGAAAAGAACCGCGGCCACTCAAGCTGGATTCCCCCGCGCGTCGGAGAGCAATTGGACAGACCTGGTGTCTGGCGCCTGCCACTCCCGCGTCGTGGTGAAATTTCTGGCGAGCGCTTCGTGCCCCCATTGCAGGCAGACTCGCAGGTGCGCCGGGATACTAGGATGGCGCGCCCTTGCGTGCTCAAACAACGGCGGGAGCAGCGCGCGCCCGAACCGCCCGAAGGTGTGGGAGGCAGCCCAACAGAAGCGGCCTGCCCACTTGGACGCGCGCCCGCGCTCGAGCGCGCCCTCTTGAAGAGCAGCAGCGATCTCGGCGCGCCACCGGGCGCGCTTCTCCGGCAGCGGCCAGCACACGAGGCCACGCTCGTCAATCGCCACAGACAAGCCCAGGACCCCGAGCGGATTGCCGAACAGCAGCTTACCGTCGGCCACAGCGCTCGGGCCCAGAATGATTCTTACCAGTTCGGCGAACTGTCGCATTGCGTCGCGCAGCCCTTTCTTACGTTCGGGGCAGAAGAAGTCGTCCACATATCTGAGGACGGGGACGAAAATGAGCCTGCGGCCCAGCGCTGACAGCATCGCGCCGATGCGCTCCCAGCTGTGAACGGAGGAAGTCGCTCCGAATGGGGCGGCGAAGTGCTGAGCCACGTAGACGCATGTGCCACGAGGAACGCGACCCATGCGAGGGCGCGATGTTCCGGCAACAGCGGCACGCGCCGGAACGCGGCGTCTATGTCCGCCTTCCAGAGCCCGGGCGCTTCGCCCACGCGCGTCACAAATGCCTTGCAAGTGCCAAACAGAGCGTCGATGGCTTCATGGCCGAGACGCTCCGTCGGCTGCGACGCCGCGTTGATACGAGAGCGCGACATATCATCTACGAGCCGCAGCTTCTCGGACCCGTCCTCTCTCGACTGCCGGACGCCGAACCGCGGCGACAAAACCGCACCGTCGAGCTCGACCGCGCTGAGCGGCGCGGGATGGCTCATTCGGCCGAGCTCCGCTTCGGCGATAGTTTTGGTGAGAATCACGGCGGAGTCGCTAGACTCCTTGAGCGTGCCGAGCAGCGCGGCGTTGCCTCGCTCCGCGCCCGCGGCCAAGTCCGGCTGGCTGAGCGGTACAGGGAAAGATTCCGGACGCCCGTTCCCCGTGCACGGGAGAGGGCCCACGAGAGGCGCGCCGCGCCGAAAGACTTCCACGCAGGCCGCGGCCTCGTAACCGATTTCGTCGAGCAGTTCGACGAGAAGAGGGCCGTTGATCGACCCTGCGATTGTGCGCACATGGGCATCGCAGCCCGCGAACCAGGCCGCCGTCGCTCCAGAGGCGCGTAGCTCGGCGTCCCTGGCCCGATTTCGCTCGAGAGTCGCTCGCCGCTCACGGCACACCTGCCGCTCCGAGCGCGCAGCAATCCAATCGATCGCCGCCAAAACATCGCCGGGCACCACCACGGCCTTTTCAAAGGCCTCTTTGTCCTCGAAGGAGTGAGAACGGGAGAGGACCTCTTCAAGAAAGGCGAGCTTAGGCGCTTCCTCAGCAGACGCAGGCGACGGCAGGTGACAGCAGCCGGCAGTGGCCAGCGCGCAACCGCGTGCATTGCAACTCGAGGCAGCATTCTGCCGGGCGCGCGAGCCCGCGAGCGTCGCGCGCCACAACGCGCAGCGCCTGATAATCCCATGTGGCAGCGCTACTGGGCCCCATCGCATCCTGCGCTTTGCGAGCGCGAGCGCTCGAGCCTGCCGGGGGCGTTCGCGCGCCTCCTGGCCCAGCGGGCGGGCGGCCCTCGCGTCGCGAGCGGACCGCGAGTGTTGACTGGCACCCAAGCCCTGGACGACGCGGCAACAACGCGGCGCCCTCCTGCCAGCGCGCGCGCGCGCGCCTGCGGGTCCCACGGGACGGTGGCTGAGGTTGGCGCCCATTCGTTGTTATTCAAGTGCCAGCGTGGCGCGCGATGCACGTCCTCATTGGCGCGCGTCCCGCACATCGCCGCGCGCCGCGGGCTGCGCGTGCCTCCGGCGGGCGTCAGGCGCGCGGCTTCTTCTGAGGAGAATACACCGTTCGCGTATCCCAGGAGCGCTTGTTGTAATCCCCGCGATAGGATCGGGACTGCCACCCGTCGGCTCTGGAATCGCGGTCGTTCTTCCAGGAAGTGACGGCGGCGCCCCCGCGGCTCCCACGGCGCCCGCGGCGCTCGCGGCGCTCGCACTCTGCCCGCGCGCTGCCGCGGCGCTTTTCCCTGCACCCTTGCCGGCCGGCGCGGCAACCTGCGCGACAGCGGTGGCGCAACGCGAACAAGGGATTCGGCGACGCGGCCATAAGAGCCCGATCATATTCCGCTTCCGCCGCGCGGAGCAGCCCGACGTCAAGCGACAGCGCCGCAACGTTCACCTGCGCGCCGACGCGCGCCCGAGAAGAACGCGCCGAAGCATGGCGCGGAGCTGCGGCCTGGAAGCCTGCCGCGCCGGCGGCGGCACGCTCGGCCCACGTCCTCCGCACAAGGCGGTCGTAGACCAAGGCAACCTGGGCCTTCCGTCCCTGCAGGGGGGCATCCAGTGCAACCTGGGCAAGCGCGCCCACTTCGGCGACCAGCGGACGGGCGCCAATGTCGACTCGCCTGGAGAACAACGTGTTTGTGAGCCATGGCGCTCGTGTACGAAATCTGATCAGTGACCGCGGCCGCCACGCTCCACGCGTCGTAAGCTGGGTGCCATGGCGTCCACGCCAGAAGCGGCTGGCTCTCCGCCGCGGTTCCCCGTCCGAACGCTCTGGCCATCGCGGCCGCCTCTTTCGACTCGGGCTCGTCATCGTCGGGAGAGCCGCCCGCGCCGCGCGCGCAAAGCGGCTGGAACTTCGCGAGCTCAGTATAAATGAACGGGCGCGCGATTCCCCTGGATTTCGCGCGCTGCACCTCGGTGGCCAGCGCATCGGTCTTCGCTGACCTGAGCGAACGATGGAAACGCGCCAGCGCGCCGGGGCGAAGCCGCGCGGCAGCCTCGGCCACAGGGACTCCGGAAGGTCCCTCAAGCTGATCTGGGCCAGGCCAGCGCCGATGTCGACATGCTCTCCCTTCGGCGGGAGCCCAGGATTCTGCAGCAACCGAACCGAAACGACCCGCCGAAGCCGGCGCGGGCCCCGCGGCACCCGGCGCACTCGCCTTGGCTGCCGCCACCGTCGCGCGATCCAGAGCGCGCCGCAGGACGCCCTTCGTCAGCGCCGTCGCGCCATCGGCATCCTTCAAATCGCCGAATTGAAGATTGGCCAATTCTTCTGGCATCGTCAGCCCATTGGCTGCCAGGCAATCAATGGCGCCCTTGAACAGGATATCAGTCCACTTCGCGCCCACAACAGGGTCAGACTGCAAGAAGGCAAGCAACGCCATCGCAATCCCAGCGCCACGGGGCACGAGCGAGAACCACGCCAGCTGAAGCCCGCTCGCTTGCATGCCAGCGCGCCATGGTGACGAATGAGAGCGTGCCAACGACAGCTCGTGGTCACTATGGACCAGAAGAGAGGGCCCCATTGGGCACGTGAACGCAGCAGGCCGCTATGGGCCGCAACGAAGCCACTATGGGCCGCAAGGAAGCCACTATGGGCCGAGCGAAGCCCCCAGAGGGCGGAGGGCCGAAACCCGACACACGGCACGGTATTTATATCCCGCCCCAGTGCCAGGCGGAGGAAGCACGGCACGGCACTGCACCACACGACGCGAGCGGGAGGCGGAAGAGGGTCGACCAGCGCGCGGCCGACCAGCCGAGCGAGGGCGCCCCCGCGGCCAGCCGCGGGGTCGTTCACAGCGCGGGCGGATTTGTGCCAAGCAATAACTTCGTTATTCCGACCCCAAGAAGAATAAGGTCCATTTTGGGGCAAGCAAGAACAATGTCATCAGCGCGCGATCCAGAGAAATGTAATGGGTTGAAACCTATCACGCGGAGGGTCATCGGTCATCGGCCAGCAGGCCGTGCTGGCTTCTGGCGCGGGATCTGGGTGCACAGCCAATCGGGCCCCCTCGTGGACCACATGGGCGCTGCCAGAAAGAAGGCTGCCTCGAGCTGTCTCGGCAGCTGGAGGAGGAGGAGGATGAGGAGGAGGAGGAGGAATAGGAGGAGGAGGAGGAGGAGGAGGAGGAGGAGGAGGAGGAGGAGGAGAAGGAGGAGGAGGAGGAGGAGGAGGGAGGAGGAGGAGCAGGGGGGGGGGAGGGGGGGAGAGATGGAGAGGATGAACGAGGAGGAGGAGGAGGAAAAAAGGGAGGGGGAGGAGGGAGGAGGAGGAGGAGGAGGAGGAGGAGGAAGAGAGGGAAAGAGGAGGAAGAGTCAGGAGGAGAAGGAGGAGGAGGAGTAGGAGGAGGAGAGGAGGAGGAGGAATAAGCAGGGGAGGAGGAAGAAGAGGAGGAGGAGAGAGGAGGAAAGAGAAGAGGGAGGAGGAGAGGGAGGAGGAGGCGGGAGGAGGACGAGGAGGAGGAGGAGGAGGACGACGACGAGGAAGAGGAGGACGAGGAGGAGGAGGAGGGGGAAGGGGGAAGGGGAGAATAGTTGTTTGACATCCGCGCTCTCTGAACCCCTCCAATAGGGGGTTGCCTCCTCACTGTCTGACAGCTGGGACAGGCGCAGCGGCAGAGAGGTAAGGTGCACCGTGGGACGGCGACGCCCGAAGGAACGACTCTTCAGCCAGCCATCGAAAATAGCTAGGAGCAGCGCCAGCGGTCCAGGGCCATGCCTCCGTGGCGCGCTAAGTGCGCGAAACATGGCACGCAAAGAGACCGTGTTCCGCGCGCCCTGTTCGGGGCAGGGGGCGCCGGAGTCCGTGCTCCGACGCACAACCTACCCACCACCCACTCCGTGGGCGGCCGCTGGCGACGAGAGCGATTTTCTCTCCCCTAGGCCCCCTACGGGCAAACAAGGGCGACGATCGAGGAGGAGAAGGAGGAGGAGGAGGAGGAGGAAGACGAGGAGGAGGAGGAGGAGGAGGAGGAGGAGGAGGAGAAGGAGGAGGAGGAGGACGGAACGCCTAAGCCCTTCGGAGAAGCCTTCCACCCCGGCCTGGCAGGGAAGGCGCGCAGGCACGGGCAGCGCTGGGCCCAGAACGGGCCCAGTCGGGACCGGCGGGGAAGCCGGCTCTGGCGCCGCTCTCATTCTCGAGCCGTGGCCTCCAAGGAGCCCCAAAAAGCCCTCCCAGACCCCCCCAAAGAGCCCCAAGAGGGCCCAAACACCCCCCAGAAGAGCTCCAAGGGTGCCCCAAGAGGCACCAAGAGGACCACAAAAGGGCTCAGAGACCTCCGATCTACATATATATATATATATATATATGTATAAATAAATATAAGCCCTTGGATAGCCCCAAGATGCCTCCAAGAGGCTCTCAGAGAGAAAGGCCCAGAAAAAGCATTGATGGTTGACTCGTCGTCGTCGTCGTCTTCGTCGTCGTCGTCGTCGTCGTCGTCGTCGTCGTCGTCCTCGTCCTCGTCGTCGTCGTCGTCGTCGTCGTCGTCGTCGTCGTCGTCGTCGTCGTCGTCGTCTTGATCTGCCTTCCACCCCCCCGCCCCGACAGAGAGGGCTTCGGGCCCCCGCTCACCAGGTGTGCCACGAGGAGGCGGTCGTCGACCGTGCCGCAGAACGCCGGGACGGCGTTGGTGACGGCGGCGCACGCCTCCGCGTAGACGCGGACGTTCTGGTCACCTCGCCGCCGCTCGGCCACGGCCAATACCAAGCAGCTTGGGGACAGCGGCCCTGGGGGAACTGGATCCTGGACCCTGGGACACCTTTTCCCCAGGACGAGGTTTTTACCCTGAGTCGTTTTCTGATAGTCCTGGGGCCCGCCACCGAGAGCCCGAACACGGCGAGAAACCTCAGGACCCGTTTACATCAGAGCACACTTGAGGGTTGGGTAGCAGCTCCATGACCATAAACTGTCGGATGCCCGCGCGGACTTCCTGATCGGCGCTGACCCCTCCTCCCTGGCACGCGGAGCACGCCAGGAGCGGCGCTTGCGGCGCTGCTGGGATCCCACAGCTCCGCGCGGATATCCGACAGCGTATGTGTTATGCCGATGTGTCTCCTTCGACGGAACGCTGGCGGCCGAGGGACGCACGGACGGCACATCGGACACCTCTTCGGCCCGCGCATGGAAGCGGTCAGGCCCGCGAGCGCATCGCCCACGGCCAAACGCCACACCAGCGGCTCGCAGTTCCCCCCGACAGGAACAACGGGAGAGGAGGACGAGGAGCAGAGCGGGAAAAGGCAACAAGTCTCGAGTCGGACGTGGAAATCATCACTCGGACTCGGATCACAGGCGGCCAGGTGAGCTGCGTGCGGAGAAAACGGACACGGTGCTCGACAAGCTAGATGTTGTCGAAAACCGGCAGCAGCCACTGTTGGGCATGAGGCCTTGTTTCCAAAACGGACACCGCCCGCGGCGGCACAGACAGCGAGCCAGATTTAAGGAGCCCGTTTCTTCCATTGTTCGCGATAAGGCCCGTGACTAGCCCCGTCCCCCCCCCTTCCCCCCCTGGTCCCCTCCCCCCTGGTCCCCCCAGCCCTACCCCCCCGCCCACACGTCCTGCATCGCCAGCTGTGTCGCCAAGACATGGAAAAAAACAGTCCCAGGATGGACAGGATCTACTCTTGGTCGTCGTCCTATTGTTTTCCGTACCCGTCCCGATCGCAGCTGGAAGAGGAGGGAAGAGGAGGAGGAGGTTGCTGCTGGTCTTCGGTCCCCTTCTTTCCGTACCCATTCCGATCCGAACCGAGGGAGGAGGAGGAGGAGGAGGAGGAGGAGGAGGAGGAGGAGGAGGAGCAAGAGGAGGAGGAAGAGGAGGAAAAGAAGGAGGAGGAGGAGGAGGGGAAAAAGAGGAGGAGGAGGAGGAGGAGGAGGGGAAAAAGAGGAGGAGGAGGAGGACAACGGTGGCATGGGGAGCCCCGAAGCCGAGGGCGCGGGCGCGTCGCCGAGGCCCTCGTGGATGGCGCGCATGGCGCCGTCGAGCAGCTCGCCTGGGGGGGCCCATCGGCGCCAGCCGCCCCCGTCGGGGATGGACAGACCCACCTTTAGTAAAACGTGGTTTAGTGAAGACGACCTGAGGCCCAAACCTGGCGGGCGCAAGCCTGGAAAATAACGGCCACGGCGCCCTCTCGAGAACCGAAAACGGACACTTCACTAATCGACGTGTCACTGTTGGGGGTTCTGTCCACCCCCGACCCCGCATTCGGGGCGGACGAAAGGGCAGGATAGCAAAGGTAAGACGAAGCCAGGACGAGGACAAAAGCGGGTGAGGATAGATCGCGACACTCTGAGATCGGGCGGCTTGGGGATGTCTCGGGCGCCGCGGCCTTCTCAGAGTGTTCCGGAGCGCTCTAGAACGGATCTATCTGTCCTCGTCCTAGCCCCGTCCTAAAAGGGCAGGGTAGAGAATCAGCTCACATAGCTGATTGTCCTGACGCCTCCTGGCGCTGGGAGGCGCCCATGCATCGAGGAATGGGCCCGGCGGCGGGGCCGAAAACCAGCTGCTGGTCCTGGCCTTAGGTCGGGCATGCCCTTCTACAGGCGGATCTGGGGGCAAAAAAATGCAAATCTATTTTTTATAGTCGGCGAATCGTCCCCGGACTATTTTTCTACTATTTTTGAACGTTCGTCCTGTAGACTTGATCCTGGCCCCGTCCGCGGGCTGGGCAGTTCGCCAGCGCCTCGGCGTGGACACTGGCAGCGGCGGCGCGGGCCCCGGGCGACGGACCCCGCCGATCCCCGCAGCGCCCGTGGGCGCCCGCGTGGTGCTGCTCCGCCGAAGCCCGTCCCCTGCGACGCCCGGCGGCGCGGCGAGGGCCGGCACAGGCGGCGCGCGATCGGCGGAGCCGAAGGAGGTACAGTATTCGGCCTGACCTAAGGAACGGTAAATAAGGAACGAAGCCCCTTTTTTTAACCAAGTGAGTCTAGGAAGTCCGAAGGAGCACCGGGGGCTCGCCGCCAAAAAGGTGGCGGAGCGCATGCAAACCAAAGGAACGACCGAGCCCATTTTGAAAAGTAAGTGTTCCTTATTCAAGCCGGGCCCTGTACAGGGGAGGCCCGCCCACAAGAGACCTTCCACGAGGAGCCCAAGCCAGAGACCCCAGGGCGTCCACAAACTCGTAAAGCGGGAGCGTCACGCTACCCGTAGGAGAACCACCAAAACCCGAGACACCCACGGCGCCCTGGAGGCAAGCAGGGTGCTTCTTGGCAGGGGTCTCCACTCTACGGCGCAGGCGGCGAAAACGAGGGCCGACACGGGCTGCGCGCGATCGGCGGAGCCGGGCGCGGTAGCACGCACGCTTGGGCTAAGACGCGTCCAGAGACTCGTCGGTCACCTATGACCAACTCCAGCTCTGGCCATCGCTCGGACGTCCATTTCCTGTGTTTATGTCGGTTTCGTGCGTGGTTTTTTCGCCAAATGATCAAGGATGCTCCTCGATGGTCCTCGCCGACGGAAAAATGCACACGTCCGAGCGATGCCAAGGCTAACACGCGTCCAGAGGATCGTCGGTCCCCTCTGACCAACTCCAGCTCCTCCCCATCCACCCCGGGGCGCCCGGCCCACATTGCCGAACGTCCTCTCTGCTCGGGGTCGCGCAGACATGGATTAGCGATCCATGGATTCGGCGCGCTGTCGCCGAATACATGGATCGGGGGAGGTGCCCTCCCCAAAACGCGGCCGGTGCCGCCTCGCTCGGCGGCGGAAGTCGCGGATTTCCTATGAAAACGGGACCCGTCGCTAATCCACGCCCCCTTGATCCATGTTTGCGATCGCCTGATCCACCCTGGGGGCCTCCCTGTCCACAGTCTCGACTCTCTGCTTCGATCGGGCCAGCTGAAACAAAGCAGCATCGGGTGCATCGCACCTCTAAACCGTGCAGGAGAGCAGACATGAGTACGGCGACGACGGCGCAGCCCAGAAAGGCCAACGGTTCCAACACCTGCTGCCGTTCGGCGCGGCGCCGTTCCCGTTTCCCTCTTCCCCTCCTCCTCCTCCTCCTCCTCCTCCTCCTCCTCCTCCTCCACCTCCTCCTCCTCCTCCTCCTCCTCCTCCTCCTCCTCCTCCTCCTCCTCCTCCTCCTCCTCCTCTAGAGGCCTCCTAGATGGGGTCCGAGTAGATGGGGTCGGAAGATCTCGCCGCATCGCCAATGTATCGCCGATGTATCGTCAATGCATCGGCGATGCACTGGCGACGTCGGCGATGCATCGGCGATGTGGGCGCGGAGAACATTGGGGTCCACATCGAGCCGCATCGCCGATGTATCGGCGATACGGTACGGTCCTCCGACCCCATCTGCTCGGACCCCATCTGGGAGGCCTAGATCCTCCTCCTCCTCCTCCCGACGCCTCCTCCTCCTCCTCCTCCCCCCTCCCTTCCGCCCCTCCTCCCACGCGTCAGCAGGGGGAGGGGCGCTGCCATGGGCCAAAGGGGCCCTGAGGGAGACAGGTCCTGGACGCTCCTGGGTTTCCTCTGAGCCAGTTCTTCGTCCCGGGTTGCTATTTGGCTGCCCTAGGCCCAGGGAGGCCGAACGTGACAGAACTCCTAAGAGTCCCAGGAAGGCAGGTGGAGGACGAGAAGGGCGGAGCAGAGGGGAAGGAGGAGGAGGAGGAGGAGGAGGAGGAGGAGGAGGAGGAGGAGCAGAGGGAAGGACGAGGAGGAGGAGGAGGAGGAGGAATGGGGAGGAATGGGGAGAAGTGGGAGGAATGGGGAGCAGGGGGATGAGGAGCAGAGGGGAAGGAGGAGGAGGAGGAGGAAGTGGAGGAGGAGGAGGAGGAGGGGGAGGAGCAGAGGGAAGGACGAGGAGGTGGAGGAGGAATGGGAAGGAATGGAGAGAAGTGGGAGGAATGGGGAGCAGGGGGATGAGGAGCAGAGGGGAAGGAGGAGGAGGAGGAGGAAGTGGAGGAGGAGGAGGAGGAGGAGGAGGAGGAGGAGGAGGGAGGAGGAGGGGAGGAGGGAGAAATGCTCCTCCTCTTCCTACTCCCTTCTCCCCTAACTCCTCCTCCCCCTCGCAGAGTCAGGCCTGACCTGCAACAGCGGGCGTGGTGGAGCGTAACATCAAAGCCCAGGGGCCCCTCCCAAGCGGGAAGGGAAGGGTCCACGACGGTAAGGATGAAGGCTGAAGGTACGGCAGCAGCAAGCAACGCTGCTGAGCCCAATCGAGCCCGCCCACCGCTCCGCGGGGGCCTCACGAGACCTGGAGGGGGAGCGCGGAACGAACAGGTGATCATGATGATGATGATGATGATGATGATGATAATGATGATGATGATGATGATGATGATGATGATGATGGTGATGATGATGATGATGACGATGACGATGACCATGACGATGATGATGATGCTGATGATGATGATAATGATGGTGATCATGATGATGGTGATGATGACGACGATGCTGATGGTGATGATGATGATGGCACTGAACATGATCATGATGATGGTGATGATGATGGTGGTGATGATGAAAGTAGTGATGATGTTGACTATGATGTTGATGATGATGATGATGGTGATGATGATGATGATGGTACTGATGATGACAATGATTATGATGATCATGATGATGATGATGATGATGATGATGATGATGGTGCTAGTGATGACGATGAGTATGATGATCATGATAATGACGATGATGCTGAAGCTGATTCAACTGAGGATGATGGTGATGATGATGATGATGGTGATGATGGTGATGGTGATGAAGAAGGCGATCATGATGGTGATGATGATGATGATGCTGATGATGATACTGATGCCGATGATGATCATGCTAACGACGATGCCGGTGATGGCGATGATGATGATGGTGATGTCAATGTCGACCGTGATGGTGATGAAGATGATGATAGTGATGATGATGATGATGCTGCTGATGATGATGATGATGACGATGGTGATGCTGGTAACGATGCTAGTGATGGTGATGATGCTGGTGACGATGCTAGTGATGATGGTGATGATGGTGAGGGGGATGAGAATGTTAATCATGATGGTGATTCTGATGATGCTGATAATGATGTTGGTGATGGTGATGGTGGTGAAAGTGATGATGATGCTGATGCTGATGATTATCAGCATCATGATGGTGATGCTGATGACGATACGGACGATGACGATGAGGATGATGAATATGATGATAATGATGATGATGATTATGATGATGATGATGATGATGATGATGATGATGCTGATTATGGTGATGATACTGGCGCTGGCGATGCGGATATAGTGATGGTGATTACGATGATGATGCCGAAAGCGTTGATGCTGACGATGGTGATGCGGATGATGGTGATGATGGTGATGTTGAAGGTGATGATGGTGATGGTGGTGAGGATGCTGATGCTGCTGCTGATGCTGATGTTGGGACTGGTGTTTGTGAGAATGCTCATGCTGATGCTGCTGATGATGATGGCAGTGTTGATGATGGTGATTGTGGTGATGATGCTGATCATGATGATAATCATGATGATAATGCTGCTAATGATGATTAAAATCATGGTAGGGATGGTGATGGTGATGGTGATGATGATGATGATGATCATCATGATGATGATACTGAAAAGGATGATAAGTATGATGATGATACTGGTGCTGGTGATGATGACTATGATGCTAGTGATGATGGCAAGACGCAGCCTGGAAACGTCTGTCGCGCTAAGCACCAACGGCCACTGAACGAGGGCTAGGACCCTTAGGCACAAGCCCAGCGCTCGCTCGGCAGCCACTCCGAAGGGCAAACGCACGACGAATCGTGGCGGAGAGAGCGCCAGCGATAGAACAGCGTGAAAGCACAATTAAACACGCACTGGAAAAAAAACTTGGCAGAGTCAAGAGAAGTGCATCCAGTGCCCTTGGGGGGCATCAACACTGAGACGTCGCTGACCAGATACGGATTTGTGTCGCCTATTATCGGCGGGGTGCCGACGGGTACAGTCGACCCGCAGAGTAAGGATAAGCATTCCTCCCAAGGGTACCCTTGCAT